TAAGACCTCTTGTTTAGGGCACCTGGGTGGTTCAGTTGGTTAAGCAACTGCCTTTGACTCAGGTCATGATCTTGGAGTCCCAGGATTGAGTCCCACATTGGGCTCCCAGCTCCGCGGGGAGTCTGCTTCTCCCTCTGACCTTCTCCCCTCTCATTCTCTTTCTCTCTCTCTCTCTCTCAAATAAATAAATAAAATATTTTTAAAAAGACCTCTTGTTTAAAATTATGATTCGTGAATTTCACAATTAAGTTCCTGGAGGTCTTTCTAGATTTGTTGACCTTGGAGGGTGTCCTTTCTGCATTTAGGACACGCCCACTTGTTCCATTCTCCAGATCATGGAAATTTCATCCAGAATTTGTTCAACTCTATCTTCTAATCTTCCTTCTCCCCCGCCCCCGCCCAGGGACCCCAATAATTCTGACATTGGAATGTTTTGTGTCATCATTTATTTCCCCAATTCTGTTTTCATGGCTTCTAAGCTGTTTGTTCCAGGCCTCCTCCTGATCCTTCTTCTCTATCAGTTTGCCCTCTAGATCACTAATTCTGTCTTCTGCCTCAGTTACCCTAGCTGTTAGAGTATTTAGATTAGATTGGATCTCATCGATAGCATTTTTAACTTCTGCCAGATTGGCTCTCACTTCTGCCCTTAGAGATGGTATGTTGTCACTAATGGTTTTCTCTAACCATTGCCTGGTTAATTGTTACCCTAAATTCCCTTTTCAACATACTGTTTATGTCCGTATCCAATAGTTCTGTGGGAGAGGGCACAGTCTCTGAATTATTCCTCTGTTGAGTTTCCTCCTCCCTGTCATTTTTGGTGAGTGGTAGTTGAAGGGATGTATAGCTGAATATATCAGCCACAAGCCAGGCAAGATGAACCCTGGAAAGTTTCGGAGCAGTTGGAAGTCACCACCAAAAAGAAAGAAATATGAAAAAGAGAGAGAGAGAAAGAGAGAGAGAAAAAAAAAGAGAGAGAATCCAGCCAAAATGAGTCCCCAAAGCAAGATTATATGATACATAAACAAAAACAAACAGAAACCGACAAAAGTAAATGAGAAGAAAAAAATAGAAGAACTTAGCCAAAATGAACTCCAAGAATAAGATTTATGTGATACCAGAATGAAAGCAAATACAGAGAAACCCTGACAGAAGAAAAAGATGGGAGGATGGTTATAAATCCTCAATGTGGGTGAAGAAGTTTTTTTAGTTCTTCCTGGGTGTATCTTGTTATCTTTGTTAAAGGACTCAACTTTCCAGAGATACAGGGAGATTAAAACTGGTTTATATATAGGGGTAGTATTGAATAAGGAAATAGGATTACCTTGAAGCTTATATCTATATGTACCTTAAAACAAAAGCAAAGAAAAAGAAAACGGAACACAGGTATTTGTATGAAAAAAGTTCAAGTTAAAAAGTTATTATGGAATATATTGTGTTAAACCTCTAACTGTAATGGTAAGTAGGTTAAAAAAATTAAAAGAACAAGAATTGTGAGAACAAATATTAAAAAAAAGTTGTATTTATGAAATATACAGGTTTTAGGGCAATATGGGGACTTAATATATTGTTTTCCCCTGATGTTGTGGTTTTACAGTTTTATGTGGACCCTGTGGTGATTGTTCTCTTGTTCTTTTGTCTTGTTTTCTTGTGGAGGGGCCTGCTACATTGTTTTCCAGTTAATATTGCTCTGGTTGAGTAGCCCTACAGGCTATCAAGGGGCTGGCCTCTGTGGAAACTAGTTTTTCAGGCTTTTGTTCTCTGGAGGTTTTTGTTCTTTGGCAGCTTTTTGCAGCTTTTCAGAGGGTCAGAGCAAAGAAAATATCTGTCTGCACCTAGACTTCTGCCTCAGAGAGAAGCCTTAGACCGTTCCTCTCTTGATGGTCTGAACACACAGACTCCCCTTCTGCAAACTCTGCTGAACAAGGCAACTTCCCACAGATGGTACGCATCCGCAGCCACTGTCCCAGTCACCCAAGGCCCCCCGCTTGTCTTTTCATCCTTGTGCCACTAAAACCACGAGCTATATTGGTCGGGGAGCCCACTTCTGGTGGCTGCATTTGCCGGGACTGCTGTCTGGAGTGCAGCCCACGCCAGGGGCTCTCAGACCGCATGGTCGTGCAGGTCGCGGAAGGCTTCCAGCTGAGGTATCCTGACTGGAGATCGCACTGGGTTTCTCAGGTATGGACTGGGAGTGTTCAGACCCCAAGGCTGGTCTCAGAAGGCTGTGGGCCCAGAGGCTGACAGCTGGCGCTCACACCAGACTCTCTCAGGCACTGGCGGGAGTGTGCCCAGCCGAGCAGTGGATAAGCAGTAGAAAGTCAGGGGCTGAGGGACCATGGACTGGAGGCTCTGCTGGACTTTCTCTGGTATGGGAGGTTGCCAGTGGTGACCATCCTGGGCCCATGCCTGTGACTGCCTGATTACACCAGTTGCCTTTTAAGACCTTTTGCTCTTTTGAGTGCTTTTAACCAGACTCCAAGTTAATGCTGGTCCCCAATCACAGGGTACTTTCATATTGGAGTATTACTTTTTAGTGGGTCGCTTCTGGTGGCTCCCTCTCCTTTCTGTTTATCCTCGGATATTAGTCCCAGCATTCCCACTCGGCTTTACCTCTCCACTGATGTCTTCTGTCTATATAGAGATCCAGAAGTGTATAATCTTACATCTCAGGCTGATTTTATGGCTGTTCAGAGTGTTCTGGTAGATATTTAGCTCACTTTAGGGAACTGGTTGAAACAGGGACTCCTACTTCTCTGCCATCTTCCCTCTCCTCCATCGAGCCTCTAGTTTTGATTGTACCTCATTAATAGCTTTTCTTGATTTCAACTTGGTTAGATTTTAGTTCTTTTATTTCTCCAGAAGGGTATTCGCTAGTATCGTCTGATTTTTCAAGTCCAGCTAGCATCTTTATAATTATCATTCTGAATTCTAATTCTGACATCTTACTGATGTCCACAATGATTGGGTACCCAGCAAAAGTATTTCCTTTACCATTTCTTGAATGGCTGATTTAGTGGTGATGAATTCCTTAACGTTTGTTCATCTGGGAAACTATTTATCTCTCCTCTTATTTTGAATGATATCCTTGCTGGATAGAGTATTCTTGGCTGCAGATTTTTTTTTTTTTTCCTTTTAGCACTTTAAATATATCCTGCCAGTCCCTTTTGGCCTACAAAGTTTCTGCTGATAAATCAGCTGATAACTTTATGAGATTGCCCTTGTATATAACTGTTTTCTCTTAGTGCTTTTAAAATTCTCTTCACTTCTTTGTGTCATTTTAGTTATTACGTGTCTTGGTGTAGACCCCTTTGGGTTGATTTTGTTGGGAGTTCTCTGTGATTCCTGGATCTGGATTTCTGTTTCCCAGGTTAGTGACTTTTTCCTTTGTTATTTCCTTGAATATGTTTTCTTCCCTCTTTTCTTTCTCTCTGCTCCTTCTGGGATTCCTATAATGCTAATGCTGTTATACTATTCTCATTTTTTATTATTCTTTTACTCTTTGCTGTTAAGCTTGATTGCTTTCCATTACTCTGTCTTCTGGTTTTCTGGTTTCTTCATCTCCTTCCTCTTGTTTAGTATTCCCTCTAGTGTATTTTTAATTTCTATTATTGAGTTCTTCATCCCAGATTGGTTCTTTTTATATTTTCTGTTTCTTTAAGTTCTAATGGAGATCTTCTTAAGTCCAGTGAGTATCTTTATGAGCATTAATTTGAATTCTCTTTCAGGCATATTGCTTATCTTCATTTCATTTAGCTCTTTTGCTGTGAATTTATTAGCTTGTTTATTTTCATTTGAGACATACTTTTCTGTCTTCTCATTTTGTCTCTTTGTGTCTGTTTCTATGTGTTAGGAAAGTCAACTACTTCTGCTCTGGAAAGTAGTGGCTTTATGAGAAGACGTGCTGTAGTGCCCTGAAGTGCGATGTCCCCTATTTACCAGAACCTGGTGCTCCATCGGTGTCACCTATGTATGTTGTATGTGTCCTAATGTGATTGAGAGGCATATGCCTTATGTCCAGTTGTCTGCAGTGTTTCTCTTTTCCTTTTGTGGGGAATGCTTGGTCCCTCTGTTGTTAAGTGGTCAGTCTGGGGCCACCTTGGACTTGAATTGAGCAGACCAGATGTTTGCCAGGACTACAGTCTCAGCACACTGCAGAGTGCTGTTCTGCCTGTGTTGTCCCCCAAGAAGTTCTTGTTGGTGGGAAGGGTCTGCAGTGAGACCAGATATCTATCCACAGTCTGTTTGTTGGGGTTTCAGGGACTTCAAACTACCAGGCTATCTCTGTGTTGCCCCTTATGGGGTTTTTGTGGGTAGGAGAGCTTACAGTCACAAATCCTAGAAGCCTTATCTTTTTCTGTGTTCTGGTATTTGTGTCTTTTTGGTTTTTATATGCTTATGTTTTCTTTTCAATGATGCTCCAACTCTTGCTTTTTACATGTTCTCTTGGGTTGGATAAAATCTCATCACTCAGCTTCAGCAACTTAGTGGTATTGCAACTTATTGTTATCCATGTTTTAACTTGAGGATAGTAGTGATAGAGTCAAAAACAATACCAAATTTTGTTCAAGAATTTTCTACTTAAAAAATATAGGAATCAGGCAATACATTTTAAGGAAACAGTTAAATATCTTTTGTGCCTGATAGAATAAACTTTGCTGATATAGGATGTCTTATTATCCCAGTGATGCCACCTACATAGAAATTAGAGCATAACATGTGGTCTCTAATTTCAGAAGAAGTTAAAATTCAGTTATATATAGTTATATATAGATTTCTAATCCCATATAAATTCTTATGTTAGCCTTATTTTTGTAAAAATTGGGTTATATAATAAATACATGATATCATTTTTAATATTTTTTGCATATTTTAAATCATATATAGTCTGAGACATTTTAATCAAGACATTTTAGGGAATGTTTGGAGGGACTGATTGATATAAAATTATTGTTTTGCTGCTGGTTCATGAATCTTCATTTCATTTGTTCTGGATTCTCTAGGAACAGATATCCTATACTATTAAAATAGATGAGAAGCCATACACTGTGCATCTTAAGCAAAGGTAACTTTTTATTCATTTAGTTTTATATTTCATTTTATTGATATGAATTTATTTACTTAAAATAAAAATGGAGAGTTAAAAATAATTAATGTAGTTGTTATTAAACATTTTAGTTGTTTCAGATGAACAGATGCTTTCCTGAGAATTAATTTAATTTTTGGTCCTAATGCCTCAAGTAGTCTTTTGTGAATAGAGGGGAACAGAAAAAAATAAGGCCCACCCTCATGAAGATTAATCTATATGATCTTATGTTGTTGACAGAACCAGAAAGACCTATATAATCAGGGCAGAATGTTGGAATAAGAAGTCTGTAAGTGTATCAGGATTTGATCAGAGAGACAGGCCTGGAATAAGGAATTTATTATGGAATGAGACTATACACTTGTGAGAGTTTATGAAAAATAGTACTAGCTGTGTACTTCCCTCAGAGAACTGAGAAAGTAATTGAAATAACTTTCTGCAGGGTTTAATTCTCTCATGGAAACCAGGAAACAATGGAAATGTCTCTCATGTAGAGAAAAGTTGGCTTAGAATTAATTTGTGACTTTAAATAGGATAATTTCAGTTAAATTTTGATTATAGAACTAGACTATATGGTATTAGGGAGAGGTGGATTGTGAGAAACTTAAGGTAGTAAGTTGTAAATAACTTTTTCAAAAATGTTTGGCAGAAAAAGAAGAAACAGGTGCAGATGAATGCTTTTTAAGAAGGAAGAAACAAAGTTTTTAGGCTGGAGGGAATTTTCTTAGAGATGTATAAACAAGCTATTTATTGTATAAAATGCCAAAGAATAGGATTGGGTAAAAGAAGAGTTAACCAACTCCTGTAGGCAGAAGGGAAGAATATGGTAAATGGCAACTCAAAGATCTTTTCAAGTGTCTAAGAGGGAAAGTGAGAGTACTCAGTGCATTTGAACATCTTATCAGGACTATTAACAGCGGTAAGAATTATAGGGACTGGAGTTTAGGAGGTGGGTAAAGCATGTGTGTATTGTTTTGGGAAATTACTTGCATAATGATTATGATGGCATAGTGATAATTAGGAAGGTATTACAAATAACTTATATGAGAAATAGCAGAAAGCAGAACTATGTAGAGGTAGGGAATTTTTTTCCTTTTGAGATATAACCTGAGGTGACAGGAAAAAGATTAGCTAACACTGGATTTAGTGGTAGCAGAGATTTGGTGTAGCAGTGAAGGAGATGAGGAACAGATCTGAGTCAGGGGAAATGTGGGCTCAATTTTGAAAAAATTAGATATGAAGTGCTTGTAGGATATCCCAAGGAAAATGTCCAGTTGACAGTTTAGAATGTGAATGGGAATTTCAAAGCCATCTATTTATGTAGGTATAAATGAAGCACTAGAAATGAACAAGATAAACCTGTAGAGGAAGGAGTGAATATCAAAGATGAGAAGGAAGAACAACTCAGAGGTGAATGCCATGGAAACACTTAAGAGAAGAAACAAGGACCCAGATGAAGGGACTCTTAAAGTATACAGAAAGATATTAGGAAAGCCAGGTGGAAATAGTATGATTGAAGTTGAAGAGTAGATGGCTTAAAAAAGGGAAGTGTGGTCAATAGTATGTCTGTGTCAGAATAGTTTTATTTGACTTCAAACTGCATTTTGGATTTGACAACTAGGAGGTTATTAGTTACCCGTAGAAGATCACTTTTAGTGGAGGATTCCTAACAAGCTAGTCTAGGTGGTCTAGTTATGTTACATTAGATTGAGGAGTGACCACGAGGTGAGGGAATAGGATAATAAGTATAGGGAGTGATACCAGAGAAGGTTGAACTCGGATTTGTAGTTTCAGTATCTACATTCAGATTAATACAACTTTTACACAATACTCTTCTACTTCATTATAAAGGTAATATATATGCATGGTCGTGAAATTTAGAAAGAATGAAAGAATGGAAAACTCTCATAATCCTTCATGTGGTTTATATCTTTGCAAATTTTAAAATGCCTTTTTTCTCATCTTGTAGTCCCTTCTTATTTTAAAGGAGTTCATTAAAATAAAATAAAGGAGTTCATCAAAATAGGAAAATTATTTTGAGTGTGTATTTCTTTGAATATAAACTATATATTTATGTCAAAAGAAAATACTACCTTTGTTCAGTTTGCAGACTTACTATAAAGGTCCAGGCCTGGAGAGCAAATATTTCAGGCTTTGAGAACGATACTATCTCTGTTAAAATGACTCAGCTCTGCTGTTGTAACTTAAAAAGAGCCATGGACCATACATAAATTGAAGGGTGTGGCTGTGTTCCAACAAAACTTTATTTTCAAAGACAGAGTAGGCCAGATTTGGCCTGAGGGTATTAGTTTGCTGAGCACTGCTTTATATGTTTCAAAAAGAATAACTTTTAATATTATCTCATTTTTAATATTCAGTTTTTTTTTAGCACATAATTTTATGGTTTATTTGTATAACCAAGGATCTGTGAATTCTCATCCTTCAGATATTCAGGTAAGATTTAAGTTTTATATTTTACAGATTTTTATAATCTTTTTTACATTGATTAAATGTTTTCCTAATACAGAATACTGTATTCATAAGGGATATATTTAAGGATTGGGTTGTTGCCTCATTTCCCTCATTATTAGCCTTTCCTGAAATCTTGGTAAGTTAAAGACAAACTAGATGGACTAAGGCTTCTATTCTGCATTGAACAGAGATATCATTTAGTTAATTAATTAGTTTATTTATATTTTGTTGAATAAATGAATATAAATTAAAGACTAATAAAAGCAAACACAAATACTGAACACAATATTTTAAACCTTTTCTTTTTTTTCCCCATCACTCCATCAATAATGACCCTACCCTTTAAATTAGATAGCCACATCCATCCACTTTCCCTATCTCCATCCTGATAACACTCTTTTCCAAGTAAATTCTTAGATTATTGCCATAACTTCCTGAATAATCTTGTTTCTATGCCTTGCCCATCCCTTTAGTCAGTTTTCAACATGACCAAAAAGATCAGTCCTGTTAGAGCCCAGACACATTGTTTCTGCACTCAGAACCCTCCATGGTATGACCTCCTTTCACAAAATGAGAGCCAAAGTCATTTCAATATCCTACAGCCTTTATACAGTCTGGTCCTCTTTACCTAACTGACCTCATTTCCTATTACTGCCTAACTTGGTCATTCTGTTCCAACTATATTGGTCTCCTTGCTGTTCTTCAACATACCAGACATGTTCTTCTTCCAGGATTACTTTCTATTTTCTTTGATCCAGATGCTAGCTCTTTCCCAAGATTCCCTTTGCTTAAGGTCTTTGCTTAAAATTACTAACTCCTATTTTATTTTATTTATTTAATTTTTTAATTAATTTCTTTTCAGCGTAACAGAATTCATTGTTTATGCACCACACCCAGTGCTCCATGCCATATGTGCCCTCCATAATACCCACCACCTGGCTCCCCCAGCCTCCCACCCCCCGCCCCTTCAAAACCCGCAGATTGTTTTTCAGAGTCCATAGTCTCTCATGGTTCATCTCCCCTTCCAATTTCCCTCATCTCCCTTCTCCTCTCCATCTCCCTATGTCCTCCTTGTTATTTGTTATGCTCCACAAATAAGTGAAACCATATGATAATTGACTCTCTCTGCTTGACTTATTTCACTCAGCATAATCTCTTCCAGTCCCGTCCATGTTGCTACAAAAGTTGGGTATTCATCCTTTCTGATGGAGGCATAATACTCCATAGCGTATATGGACTATATCTTCCTTATCCATTCGTCTGTTGAAGGGCATCTTGGTTCTTTCCACAGTTTGGCGACCGTGGCCATTGCTGCTATAAACATTGGAGTACAGATGGCCCTTCTTTTCACTACATCTGTATCTTTGGGGTAAATACCCAGTAGTGCAATGGCAGGGTCATAGGAAAGCTCTATTTTTAGTTTCTTTTTTTTTTTTTAATTTTATTTATTTATTTGAGAGAGAATGAGTGAGAGAGAGCAGGAGAGAGGAGAAGGTCAGAGGAAGAAGCAGACTCCCCAAGGAGCTGGGAGCCTGATGCGGGACTCGATCCTGGAAGTCTGGGATCATGACCTGAGCCGAAGGCATTCGCTTGACCAACTGAGCCACCCAAGCGCCCTATTTTTAGTTTCTTAAGGAATCTCCATACTGTTCTCCAAAGTGGCTGCACCAACTTGCATTCCCACCAACAGTGTAGGAGGGTTCCCCTTTCTCCACATCCTCTCCAACACACGTTGTTTCCTGTCTTGCTAATTTTGGCCATTCTAACTGGTGTAAGGTGGTATCTCAATGTGGTTTTAATTTGAATCTCCCTGATGGCTAGTGATGATGAACATTTTTTCATGTGTCTGATAGCCATTTGTATGTCTTCATTGGCGAAGTGTCTGTTCATGTCTTCTGCCCATTTTTTGACATGGTTATCTGTTTTGTGTGTGTTGTGTTTGAGAAGTTCTTTATAGATCCTGGATATCAGCCTTTTGTTTGTACTGTCATTTGCAAATATCTTCTCCCATTCCGTGGGTTGCATCTTTGTTTTGTTGACTGTTTCATTTGCTGTGCAGAAGCTTTTGATCTTGATGAAGTCCCAAAAGTTCATTTTCAGCTTTTGTTTCCTTTGCCTTTGGAGATATATCTTGAAAGAAGTTGCTGTGGCTGATATTGAAGAGGTTACTGCCTATGTTCTCCTCTAGGATTCTGATGGATTCCTGTCTCACGTTGAGGTCTTTTATCCATTTCGAGTTTATCTTTGTGTACGGTGTAAGAGAATGGTCGAGTTTCAGTCTTCTACATATAGATGTCCAATTTTCCCAGCACCATTTATTGAAGAGACTGTCTTTTTTCCACTGTGTGTTTTTCCGTGCTTCGTTGAAGATTATTTGACCATAGAGTTGAGGGTCTATATCTGGGCTCTCTACTCTGTTCGACTGGTCTATGTGTCTGTTTTTATGCCAGTACCATGCTGTCTTGGTGATCACAGCCTTGTAGTAAAGCTTGAAATCAGGTAACGTGATGCCCCCAGTTTTGTTTTTCTTTTTCAACATTTCCTTAGCAATTCGGGGTCTCTTCTGATTCCATACAAATTTTAGGATTATTTGTTCTAGCTCTTTGAAAAATACTGGTGGAATTTTGATCAGAATGGCATTAAAAGTATAGATTGCTCTAGGCAGTATAGACATTTTAACAATGTTTATTCTACCGATCCAAGAGCATGGAATGGTCTTCCATCTTTTTGTGTCTTCTTTAATTTCTTTCATGAGTGTCCTGTAGTTCCTTGAGTACAGTTCCTTTACCTCTTTGGTTAGGTTTATACCCAGGTATCTTATGGTTCTTGGTGCTATAGTAAATGGAATCGATTCTCTAATTTCCCTTTCTGTATTTTTATTGTTAGTGTATAAGAAAGCAACTGATTTCTGTACATTGACTTTGTATCCTGCCACATTACTGAATTGCTGTATGAGTTCTAGTAGTTTGGGGGTGGAGTTTTTGGGGTTTTCCATATTAAGTATCATGTCATCTGTGAAGAGAGAGAGTTTGACTTCTTCATTGCCAATTTGGATACCTTTTATTTCTCTTTGTTGTCTGATTGCTGTTGCTAGGACTTCTTCTTCTTTTTTTTTTTTTAAGATTTTATTTATTTATTTGTTCAAGAGAGAGAGAGAGCATGAGCACAGGCAGACAGAGTGGTAGGCAGAGGCAGAGGGAGAAGCAGGCTCCCTGCAGAGCAAGGAGCCCGATGCGGGACTCGATCCCAGGACGCTGGGATCATGACCTGAGCTGAAGGCAGCCGCCCAACCAACTGAGCCACCCAGGCGTCCCTGTTGCTAGGACTTCTAATACTATGTTGAACAAGAGTGGTGAGAGTGGGCATCCTTGGTGCGTTCCTGATCTCAATGGGAAGGCTGTGAGCTTTTTCCCATTGAGGATGATATTTGCTGTGGGTTTTTCATAGATAGATTTTATGAAGTTCAGGAATGTTCCCTCTATCCCTATACTTTGAAGTGTTTTAATCAGGAACAGATGCTGGATTTTGTCAAATGCTTTTTCTGCATCAATTGAGAGGACCATGTGGTTCTTCTCTCTTCTTTTATTGATTTGTTCTATCACATTGATTGATTTGCGAATGTTGAACCATCCTTGTAACCCAGGGATGAATCCCACCTGGTCATGGTGGATAATCTTTTTAATGTGCTGTTGGATCCTATTTGCTAGGGTCTGTTGAGAATCTTAGCATCCATATTCATCAGTGATATTGGTCTGAAATTCTCCTTTTTGGTGGGGTCTTTGCCTGGTTTGGGGATCAGGGTAATGCTGGCTTCATAAAAAGAGTCTGGAAGTTTTCCTTCTGCTTCAATTTTTTGAAGCAGGTTCAGGAGAATAGGTGTTATTTCTTCTTTGGAAGTTTGGTAGAATTCCCCAGGGAATCCTTCAGGTACTGGGCTCTTGTTTTTTGGGAGGTTTTTGATCACTGCTTCAATCTCGTTACTAGATATCGGTCTATTCATGTTGTCAATTTCTTCCTGGTTCAATTTTGGGAGTTTATAGTTTCCAGGAATGCATCTATTTCATCTAGGTTGCTTAACTTATTGGCATATAACTGTTGATAATAACTTCTGATGATTGTTTCTATTTCCTTGGTGTTAGTTGTGACCTCTCCCTTTTCATTCATAATTTTATTAATTTGAGCCTTCTCTCTCTCTCTCTCTTTTTTTTTTTTTTGGATTAGTGTGGCTAATGGTTTATCGATCTTATTGATTCTTCCAAAAAACCAGCTTCTAGTTTCATTGATATGTTCTACTGTATCTCTAGTTTCTATCTCCTTGATCTTCTCTCTAATCTTCATTATTTCCCTTCTTGTGCCTGGGGTTGGCTTAATTTGTTGTTGATTCTCCAGTTCTTTAAGGTGTAGAGACAGCTGGTGTATTCTGGATTTTTTCAATTTTTTTGAAGGAGGGTTGAATGGCTATGTATTTCCCACTTAGGACTGCCTTTGCTGTATCCCTTAGGTTTTGGTCCGAAGTGTCTTCATTCTCATTGGTTTCCATGAATTGTTTAAGTTCTTCTTTGATCTCCTGGTTGATCCAAGCATTCTTTTTTTTTAAATCATTTTTTAAAATTTATTTTCAGCATAACAGTATTCATTGTTTTTGTACCACACCCAGTGCTCCATGCAGTCTGTGCCCTCTCTAATACCCACCACCTGGTTCCCCCAACCTCCCACCCCCACCACCTCTTCAAACCCTTC